GTGGATTTTTCCATAAAAACATTTGTTCAAAAGTTAGACGCAGTTAAAGTTATGCATCAAATGTACCGAGCATTTACAAAAGTTCTTTATAAATTTTTTATGTTGCTCATACGTCATGGTACTAAACAGATATGGTAAATGCTCAACTACTGAACTACTGAACTTCAGTGAATTTTATGTATAACTTAAACTCTGTATAACGCTATATGTTCATTTGTACGTTTTTATGAAACAAATTATTAAGACCTCTTTTGTAGAGTGGAAATTTCGTATTTGAATCTTATTTTTTCGTTATATGCTTACTTACTTTATGCAAAATATAGAAAAAATCTCATGTTATATCCACACTTGGGAACTAACGGTCAGCCTAATGCTCCATACAACACAACCATTAACATAAACATTAGGGTGGAGCGAAAAAAAAAATGTGTTTGCTTAGCCTGAGGGTAAAATCTGTAGATAATAAAAAAATAAATTTTTTTACAAAAAAAAAAAGTTCAACATCTAGAGGGCCGCAATTAGTTTTGAAGTAAATTTTCGAGTTAAAATTTTTATTTCGTCAAAAATTTTTGATAAGTGTTCTAGAAGCTGTGGAGAGTTCTCTTTCTAGCCAATTAAAAGTTATCAACTTAAAAAAAATTGTTCTGGTCATTATTGGAGTTTTAAAAAAAGTTTTAAACGACAACATGCTTTCCTTAAGCGTTAAAATAAATTTTGAGTCAAAAACCGTCACATTCGGTAATTTTTATATAAATGTAAAGAGTTTAAACCAAATTAATTTTTTTTTGTCCAAAAAAAAGTTTAACTCGAAATTTACTTAAAAACTAAGAGGGCCGCCTCTAGATGTTAAAAAAAAAAATTTCGCTCCACCCTAATACACATAAGTATATTTATGAACCAACGGTAACAATGACACATATCAACATATTTAGATTTGTATTCGTATTTCAACCATCGACACATTTTGTTTTTTTTTGTTATTGTCAGAATTAGAAATGAAAAATGTCTAATGAGTTCTCACTGATGTTAGGTTTTTGGGTTTTTAATAACTAGAGTTTTTGCACACTATATTTGAAGGAACGACATATTAATGTATCTGAAAAAAAATGTATGGTTCTTTATATGATTATAAAGAAATTAGTTATATAAAGTTCTTAGTTTTTCTATTGTAGTATTTCCTGCTGGCATTTACCCGCAGCAATGGCAACTCAAATAGTTCACAAGCGCATTTATGGTCATTGTTAGATTCGACACGACATTATTGCGTATTGTGGCAATACCTGGTTCTATGTGAGCTAACCGCAGGGCTAAGCTAGAGCAAGAAAATATTTACAATTTTTATTCGCAAATAATCAAAAAACCTCTCTCGAGGTTGCTTGTGCGGGCGACATGAAATTGTGTCTATTTATAAGTATTATATTATGCCATTTGAGATTACTCGCATTTAAAGACATGAAATATTTTGCTTCATTTACAATTTATTACGATATGCTATTGTTTGGACAGGCGCATATGTCGCTTTGTATGTAACGCGGCATTGCTGCGAGTATTCGCACATGCGCACAATTCGCTTACGTGCGACCATTTAAAGCGCATCAATAAATCACTCAAATGGCAAGTGTGTGTGGGCTTGCTGCTGACTTAAGGCATTCAAGCCGCCAGCGAGTCTGTAGTTCAACTGTGCATATACTTGTACATATGTATGTTGTTGCTGTACGCAAAAACAAGTTGTGTGTGTCATCAAAGACGCGTTAGTGCCGCATCAGAAAAATCGGTATTTTTAGACAAAGCTAGTGCTTGTGGGCTGGCGAGCATCTAAAAATGGCAAATCTTTCGGTTCTTGCTATAATTTTTAAATGTTTGGCGCGAGTTTTAGTACTTAAATGTAGTGTAGCAACTCTGCATTGTTTAGAAGTTTGTCGCCAAACTCTTTGGTTTTTCATCTTACGAAATATTACATGAACAAAATCAAAAGGGATACGTGAATGCTTCTTTTGCAATGAAAATGCAAAACGAAATGCAAATCAGTTTTTAGGTATGCTTTGTACTTTTCTAAAGCGTAAGGTGTATCTGTGCTGGCTAGTTTTTTGTTTTTTTTTTTTTTGCTTTGTGTATTAAATGCTTATCTTCAATGTATTTAATTAGAAATTCAGTACAGTTTGGCTTAAAGAGATACCATCTTTTGTGTATTGGCCAAACTAGTCACGTTTTGCAGAAGCGGCCAAGCTTTCATTGTTTAGGAGTGCCAAAGATGATACTTCTCCAATAGTATATCAATTATTGCATTATCTAGCTATATCTATGATTGCAAAGCGCAACAACTCACGGTTTATTTCAATGCAGTAGAGTGCAGCCGACATTTTATACACATTTACGTATTTATTTTTCTTAAGTGGTTATATCCACTTATGAATTTCAAAAAACTGATTTTTTTGCATCTATATATATCGAATGTACATTTATTTGAGAATATTCTCCAAATTTTGAAGTGGTTTCGGCAAATAGTTTCAGTTACATCAGGTTATTTGCAAGAATTTTTCAACTCTGTGTAATCGATACGCAAAACTTTAAACGCGTTTTGCTCGAAACAATGTTTTTAGATTCGGTGAGCATAATTCGAGCATTACCTATATTTTTCTATAGTAACAATAAATGTTTATGGTTTTTGCATTTGAGATAATTTTAGCAGAAATATCTTGCTCACCGCCAGACACCAATTTTTGCAGTTCTTTATGGAGATCGGCTACGAGAACAAGGTAATCGAAAATTTTTAAAATTGAATCGCCGATTATTAATGGGCAGGAAATTTTTTAAATTTGTATTATTTTGCATTTTTTATTTTTTAAATAAAATGCTTTTTCAAAAAAAATCACAAAAAAGTGCGTCCTCTCCGACTTATAAGTGGATATAACCCATTAAGTATATTCATTTTAGTGTGATGGGTTCATTTTTCCATTTTTGTACAACTTTTACAAATGAACTGAATCTTAAAATCCCACTTTTTTATTTCTGAGATTTTCGTTTATTTATTACTTTTATCATTAATGGCAGCAAAAATTCAATGACGCAAACAGCGCGATCACATAAATAAGAGGGTGTGCCATGCTACCTGACAGCCATCTGTAGCTAAACAAAAGCAAAATAATTCAAAGCAAAAGCCAACAACATCGCTCAGTACATGCAAAACAGTTATTTTGTTTTGTTTTGTTAATGAATGCTGGCAAAGCAAGCGTGTGCATTTTGAATAGTTTTGTGATTTATCACATGATGCCAACAATAACCACGACTGTTCGCCAATCAGTCAAACAAGTGACAAACGCAGTTAAATTTCGAATAGATTTGGCACTTCGTAAGTAATTCAGCACGCATGCGCACTTCAGCAAATTTTTTTGCGGGCACTCTCATTGGCGAATCGGGCGCTGTCAATTGCTGTGCGAAGCAGCTGTGTAGCGAATGACTCAATTCGTTATCGCACCGCCTGAGCGAACGTCACCAAGTTCATTCATCGCAATTCCGCCGACACTGCACACCGCCTTGTGACGGTCAGCAAGCAAATCTATATTGACTTAACACCGCGTTGCCGCCGACCCGAGTGTTGAAAGCGCACAACTTTTGGTGGCAATTCGGTGGTGAACAAATTGTCAGTGGCGCATAGCAGGCAGCAGCAAATATCGCAAATCTTTCAAGTAAATAAAAAAAAAAAAAACCAAAGAAAACCATATGCAACAAGCGCGTTCACACGATATTCGGTTCGATTCTGTCGTGTCATGAAAAACTATTCAATGGACCAATTGTGTGTACGTGAGAGAAATGTAAGAATGGCTACATAAATGTTGAGACGCAGAACAGAAAATAGAGGCAAAATAACAAATGCTTTATTAGTCATTTAAGCACGTGTAGTGTTTTAAGCAAATGTATTGAGCGCATGTGCAATGTGTCTTTCGAGTAGTTTCAAACTTGAAATCGTAGAAATCTTATGCTGACTAATCTAACTTTAGACTTGACAACTTAAATTTAATTATTATTGCTTTATTATTGTTGTACCTAGAGGAGACATTACAATTACAATAATTTTCTCTCAACCGTGTTAGTGGGCCTGTATTGAGCTTCGTAGCTGGGCGGAGTCGTTGGCGTTATATGACTCAAATACTGATTTTAAATATATTATTTAGAAATTTGATATTTTTAATATTTTGAGATTGTCTCTAGGGAATGCCAGTTACAGTAAATAGCAATAAAATTTAGTTTTTAAATATTTTAAATAAAATTTAAGAGCACACCAAGTGCCCTACTACTCGAAATACTTTAAAAAATAACATACTAAAATTTTAAATCAATATCTCAAATAGTTTTTGCGTTGCAATTTTCTAATTTGCAGGCGCTCAATTCAACCAGCTTCTCTCAACTACTCGGAGACAAATGATCCGATCACTATCAAATTATTTCTGAATGTTCTCTATATACGAGAACGTACAATAGATCGCCATACAATGACCAACCAGTTTTTTTTATTGGATCAAAAATTTTATTTTGCCAGGCCAAAAACAACTAAAGTTTTGGACAAAATTTGTTTTATCAGTTTTTAAATTTTTTTCGACCGTAAGCCATTGTACGGAGAGCATATTCCAGTAGAGAATTTATTTTAAGCTACATCCGAAAGAGAAGCACAGCAGCAGTACTTGAAGACGTGTAACTCGAAAAATAGTGATTTTTTGCTTCAAAACTTTTACTGTATACTCATAAAATATGCAAAAATATACATTAAAATTTTTAAATAAGCGCTTAAATTATTGTTTAACCAGAGAACTTAGAAGCAGAGAATGCTAATGAATATTTATTAACAGCAGAGAACGTAAATGAATTTACATTCTCTGTTAACAGTTAACTTTCCGCTGTTAAACATATTCACATAGTATTTTGTAGCCTACACTCAGGCGTTATTTAACGCTCAATATCACATCCGCTGTGATAAGTGTAGCATACTTTTAGGCCCTACTCACCTTGTCGTTGTTCTCTTCCAGTTCAAGTATACGGAATTCTAACAGTTCATTCTGTTCACGCAACTCGTCCGCCTCCGTGCTCAGCTGATGCTCCTGCTCCTCAAGTTGTTTTATACGCACCATAAGTTGTTGTAATGCCGCATTATTATTATTCATCTGCAAGTAAATGAAACACAAACGTTTTATGCGCGAAAATTAAGCAAAAGCAATTGCACAACTTACCTCCAAGCTGGACTTTTCGGCGTCGAGAATATGCTCCTTGGCCAAATTCAGTTCCGCATGCAAGTGTTCATTTTCCTTTTGCAGTATTTCATTATCCTTTTGTAGCTTCTGCAAGTCGGTGCTGTAAGTGCGGATCTGCAAAGCGATGAATTGAGCGTTATGTAAGTCAGTTAGCTAAGACATAAAAAGTGAGATTTCAGAAAGTACAAGTGCAGCCTCCAAATGGAATTTTTACGACCGCTAAAAACTCTTTTATTTTCGATTGCGTATATTATGTTACCCACACATATTCATTCTCTATACCATATATTATTCATATTCAGCCCCACCACAGCGTCGCATGTTTATTAAGCTGAGATCATAAACATCGCCGTTAACTTACACTAATGCTGCACTCAATGCAAGGCTGTGTGTGAGTCTCTGGGTTGCATTAAGCGCATTTCTCGACGTCTGCCGCCATTTCAACTCCTCAGACGCCAGCGCAATATACAAATGCGCAATAAAAAATGGAATACAAACACCAAACAGAACAACAACACTTCTAGCAAAGCAAAATCATAAAATCCTTAAAAATATTGCCCTACTGATTATGCTAAAACTGTCGGCGGTCATAAAAGGCGCAAAAGGATCTGTTCGTATTGTAAGTCTAGCACAATGTTAACATAGTGGGATGGGACAGTGTGACGATGTCATACTATATAGTTTATATAAATATTTGCATTAAAATTATTAAAATATCTTTGATGTCTTGATTTCAATTATAAACATGTTTTTATATTTAATCATATATTGCAATGGAAAAACGTTAAAAAGTAGTTAGTCGAATCCCATGATAACTGAATGGTCAGTTTCAGCAGTTTCTTGGAGAGAAAAGGAAGTGTGCAAAATTTCATATTTATATCTCGAAAGCTGAGGTACCAGTTCGCATATGTACAGACAGACAGATGGACATGACTAAATCGACTCAGCTCGTCACTCTAATTATTTAAAAACTTGGTGGCAATTCCCTGTTCAGGTATAAAAAAGTGCAAAGAGTCGTTGCATAGTGAACTTCTTAACCCAATGCCTTCTTAATCGTAAGCATTATGGTAATGCAGGTGATATTGGCAGCAGTCTTACAACATTTATTGTTGTGTACAAGCGGTAGAGTCATTATATGCACTCAAATGCAGTCAGAGGCAATTGGAAACTCATCTTCATCAATAGATTCATGTCCATCGGTCAAAGCGATGGGGAAGGGAAACCGCAGTATTTTTTTCTTATTGAATATCTCTTATTAAATTAATTAAATATTAATTCGTGCTGCTTTTGTTGCTAAAGGGAGTTGCCAAAGCGCGCGGCTGAAATTGCCCTGCAAGGCCTAGAGACGTGCTGAGAGCTCCAAGCTGCGATAAAAACTACAGGCAGACAGACTAAGCGGAACTACGGAATAAAGTGTGTCAATGCAACGCGGTTGAAGTGCATTGTCATCGTGCTAAATTGAGCGCGGCAGCGGCACCGAAGATACTCAAATTGTTCAAGCAAAAACGCTAACAACAAATATGCACCTTTGCTTTTGTTTTTCCGCTATGTACACGGGTAATCATATGCGTCTATAGACATTTGTATATACTTGTATATCTATTTATATGCGCATGTTTATTTTTAAATACAAAAGACTCAAAGACCAAACTTGTTTTCGAAACGAAGTAAAAATACACGTTTTTCAACGGACTTTGCATTTGCTTTCTTGTCTTTGTTTTGGCAATTTATCGTTTAACTGTAGAACATATTGATTTCGCACTCACCATTTGCCAGATATCGGCTGTGTCCAGCCCCGCCGGTGGCGGCTGTGGGCTTATCGATGGCGGGGCAGATGAGAGCGCCGAGTCCGAGTCGGAATTGTTATCCTGCAAATGGAGTATGGTCAACGAAATAGCACAAATTAAGGTACTTAGCTCTAAAGTGTCCGCATCACTGATGCATTTGTGCATATGTGCATGTGTTGCTTTGTACCTTACCTTCATTCTGTCGTCGTGTATTCTGGCGTTGTGGTGTCGCTCATCTGCGTTCGCTGTTTGTGTTGTTGATGAAGTGATGGTTGTTGTTGTACACATTTTGCCTTTAGATGCCGAATTTTGTGCAGTTGCCTTGTCTTCTACCTTGTCGATTGGGTGCTCATCTATCGCCGCTGCTTCAAGCGGCTGCAGCTGTTGCTCGCGCGCACTAAGCGCTTCGAATGGCATGCATCTTGTTGTTGTGGTTTTTAGTAAATTGTTACAATGCTCATTATGTGTTGTTGTTGTTGTTGTGGCTCTTGTTGTTTTTGTTGTTGTTGATGATGTGTTAGTGGATGACGTTATGTTGTTGTTGTTGTTGTGAATTTGTTCATCGTCGACATTTACATTTAAATTAAAACTAACATTTTGCAAAGGTTGCAATTTGAGATTGCTTTGTGTATGGGTGAGTATTTTGTTTGCATTTGTTGTTTCTAAGTTATCCTTTGTTGCGCCTGTCGTCGGCGGCGTCGAGTTAATATTACTTTGTATAAAAATGTTTGAATTGTTGATCAGCTCAATATCCTTGAGGTTTTTCACCTGCAAATGCAATTAAAAGAGAATATTGGGTTAGCAAGAATTCGCATATCGCTAGTATTATTACAAACAGTATAACATTGCTTGCTTACAAGCATAATAACATAACTCAAAAACATAAAGTTTTGCTTGAATTTACAGGCGTAATTTTCGTTTTAAAATATCATAACGGAATGATTTATTGTAATTTTTTTCTAAGTTCTAATTGGTGTGTATTAAGTTTGTCATGCAGTCGGTAACAACCAGCAGGTAACTTCGGAGACCCTATAGAATATATATTTAAAATACCAGCATGACGAGCTGAGTCGATTCTGCCTAAGTAGCTGCTGACATACTAATTCATAATTAAAGCACATAACTATCGCGTGACATCACATGCATAATACACACGTGGACATAAAACGATTTTGTTCAACGAAGTGACGCGCCTAGCAAAATCCGATTGTAATTAAAAATAACATTTTTGACAGTGCACAAAAAACAAAAAGTCAATAAATGAATACTTAATTATGAGATATTGCGAAATTCACATACACACACATGCGCGTGGTACTCTCCATTAAGGCAGCTTTGCAGAGTGCAAGCTACCATGGAAGTCGAGCCGATCAATCGACGAAAAATTGCCCAATGCAGCGTGATGCAGCTGCTATTTCCATTATAGCTAATGGCATGAGGTACAGTGTGTACAATATCTCCAACATACTCGTTTGCATTGCATGCGCCAGCTGCGGCCGCAGCGGTAAAAAGTAGGAAACCAATGCGGCGAACGCCTACTCTGACGGCGTCTGCCACAATTCAATCAATCGCAGACCTCAACGCCTGGCTGCTGACTGCCACGGCTCGCCCGTCGACCGCCGACCGCCGACCGCCGACCGCCGACCGCCGACCGCCTGCCGCTGATTGTTAAGACGATGATTGAATTGTAAATGCAAACATTTGACTCGCATTTTCGCTATTGCCAGTAAAAACGATTTCCTTCAACAAACTCGCACATACACACACACACCGCTATGCACGTGCTTGTGTGTGCCTGTGTATGTCTTGCAGAGGGTTTATGATTGAAATTTGCCAGTTGCCACATATCCGCATTTGGCGCATGCGAACAGGCTTTTTCTTTCCTCAAACTATTTTCCGTTATTAGCTCAAACCTTACCTGCGTACAAACGCTATTATTAATATTGTTGTTGTTGTTGCTAGTCGGTTGGACGGTTATGTTACAACGAACACCCACACAATTTTTCGGCCGAATTTGAAATAAACAGCTCTTGTATATTTTTAGTTCGCGCGCATGCGTGTGTGTTGTTGATGTCTTTTGTACGAGTACTTGGACTGTCAGCTAGCTATTGCCATTCTTATTCAACTGTCTGCATTAAGTGTGCTTGGGCTTTTGGCTGTGATTGACAGTAGACAGCGCCGAACGACGGACAATGGCATGTTGCACATGAAGCATGCCACAACCGCACGTAAATTTGAGACAATAAATCTATTTGGGCAGTTTATCGCTTGTAAATTAATGCAACAACAACAATGCCGTCTATTTTTGCTGCAATCACATGCGAAAATATGCAAAATAGCCGCAAATTGTATTAATGCTGTTGTTGTTGTTGCAATGGTTTATTTTGTTACTGCATACATTAATACATATGTAAATATGTAACATATACCTATAAGCTTGTAAATTGTTTGAAGCGATATACTTCAAATGGCAAATAAAGCTTTTTTCAATGTGCAATATGTACTAATAAACAACAAGCAACAACAAAAATCAATATCAAGCGCTTTTATATTTGATAAAGATATTCGTTTAATTAGCATAACTCTTCTTCTAAAAGAAGTTTTTAATTATAAATATTTATTAATAAAATAAAAACGAAAAAACAAACACGGTTTCATAAGATCAGTTTTGTTGCTTGCAAATCGACAACAAAAAAAAAACAACCTACTCAGCGCTTTCGTGACTAAAAATTGGCGCGTTTAAGCCAAACATTTAATTTGCTTACATTAAACGACAAATATATATACCTATTAGGGTGGAGCGAAAAAAAAAATATTTTTTTTTGCTTAGCCTGAGAGTAAAATTTGTAGATTGTAAAAAAAAAAGATTTTGGAAAAAAAAGTTAAAAAAATTGTTTGTTTAAACTCTTCACATTTATATACAAAAATTACCGAATTTGACGTTTTTTGACTAAAAATTTATTTTAACGCTTAAGCCATGTTGTCGTTTAAGACTTTTTTTAAAACTCCAATAATAACCACAAAAACTTTTTTAAGGTTGATAACTTTTAATTGGCCAGAAAGAGGACTCTCAGAGCTTCTAGAGCACTTATCATACATTTTTTACGAAATAAAATTTTTTACTCGAAATTTACTTTAAGAGTGAATGGGCGGGCCTCCAGATGTTAAAAAAAAAATTGTTTTTCCAAAAATTTTCTTTTATTTCATAAACTACAAATTTTACCCTCAGGCTAAGCAAAAAATTTTTTTTTTCGCTCCACCCTAATACTTATGCACTTAACTTAGTGTTGTTCATTTGCGTGTAAGTGGCACTGCACAGTTATTGATGTGTGGAAAAGTGGTAAACAAAATTAATAAAACTGAAAAAATGTCAAGGTACTTTGCATAACCATCATCAGCAAGCGAAGTATTGCCACGCCACAAAAAAATCGCATAAAACATTTATATACCTACATGTGACTACTTGTAGTATGTATGAATGCATATACGCAGATGTACATTTGAGCATTTATGATCACAACAAGTTGGCAGTTTGTAATAATTTATCGCTGTTGATTTACTCACAGATCAACAAGCGCGTCAAACAGATGAACTTCAGTTGATCTGCGTTGTTAAACGGTGTTTGTTAAGCAAATGCCGAAAAATAATAATAAAAACTGCAAAATATTTACTTGTCGGTCATTTCATTCAACGGCAAATAAACAAGAAAGCAAACATATTTAAGCCATCATATATAGCTATCTACATATGAGTGTGTGTAATTTTTTATCGAATCACAGGCATTAGTAGAGCTCCTTATTCATGCGAGTGTTTTCATTCATGCGTTCAATTGACTTTTTCCCACAAACATGCTCATGCATGGCGCATTCGGAGCTTGTGCTAATTGCAAATGCGTTTTCCTCATTTCTGCGCCATTGTCTGCGCATGCTCATACTTTCAGTGAATTTATGCATTTGGCTCTTCCTTTTTACATCGTAGCCTTAAAACTGCGCTTTCTATTCAACGACTATTCGATTTAACAGCTTTATCTGGAGTAATCTTATGTGTGAACTTGTCTTATTGCCGTCTGCATTGAAGCTACTTAAATAGATTAACCGCCCACGCTTGATCCCACATAATACTTATATGTAATGGCAAATATGGGCATTACCGCGTGCATGTGAGTGCAGTCAATAGTGAGTAATTTAATGCTGGAAATGCTGTCGTGACGCATACGTGCAACAAAGTCACCTTTCTTTAATGAACACACTTACATATACACACATATATACAAACATCGCAAACATGCATGGGTAACGAATGATTTCTAACACATTTATATACAGATTATAGCTGTGCATTATTCAATATTTTGACACAATTTAACTACTCGAAAAGTAGGAAAAAATAATATAGACATACATATTTACACCACTAAGTGTAGTGCCACATAATTACACTGCATACATGAGCGCATACATACATACATATTCACAAAGTTCATTTCTCATATGAGAGTACAACATTTTGAACTTTAATTGCGCAAATTAATATATTTTATTTCTTTCACACATACAGATATGCATAGCTGTGGTATTTGTTGTTTTTCACCGTTTTATTACACTGCACATATTAAGGTCAAGTAACATTATCACTAAATTAGTAACAGACACAGTTCAACAGTCCACATTTCCATACTCAGTAGATTGGTCCAAAGAGTAGACGAAGTGTCAATGGGTGCATGTACTGCTATTAGCCCAAACTCGCACACATACATGCGCGTACATGTCACAATTGACAACTGTGTTAGCGAAGAAAAATGTAACAACCAAACAAAAGGCAATAAAAACGTGGACAGTACAGCAATCAGCCGGCGAAAAATGCGAAAACGCAGATACGCGCACACCCAAAGACTCATGTTGACTTAGTTACACAAAGATATGTATTTACGAGTATGTTCACACAATGGCTTTTAATGCGTGTATTTAGCACAATCTATTTGAAGTTTCAAAATATTGTCATTTTATTTGCTGAAATTATTAAAAATTCTTTCATAAAAGCAAAAATGTGAATATTATAACAAATACTTTAACGACATTTACGACTGACTTTCTCCAGCTATTGGCTCTTAAGCAGTGCCATTGTTACTTTTATTTTCCAAAAATTTGAAAAAATCTGCTGCGTCTTTTCGAGGCACTTGTGCACTTATCAACGCGGAATGCTTCTTCAATTGTAGTTACTTTTTATTAAGCAAAAACTGCTTAAGTTTTGGCAAAACTTGATAGAAAATGCTTATAAAAACTATAAAAAGCATGCCTGATATTTTGCTTTGCTATATTTTGCAGCGCACTCATTAGCCACTGTTGAGAAAGTGAAAACCTCACCTGCCAAAAATGGTCAACCTAACTAGCAGCAACTGTAGGAGTCGCACTAATGATCTACACCCACAAGTAGACGCCATGAACCAGTGCCAATGCCAGCGCTAAATTATGCATTAGGCAATAAAAATTCATCATTCAACATAACTACTACTTTATCGTTTATATTTTTTCATCGCATTGCTTGTTGGTAGTGCGCAGCCGCAAGCGCGTTGTTTGTACGGCCTTTTACGGCTACTCACAATTGTGTTGGCGCTAGGTTGCTTTAGCTCAGTTAGAACACACAAGCAGACGAGTTACCGAACGATTATTAAATGACACTTTTTTTTAGCACACATTCATAAAGAAACATCACTGTTAATTAGAGTGTGGTATGTAAGCGAATTTCAAATTTGAAGAGCTCAATTAAAA